GGGGGGGGGGGGGGGGGGGGTTGCTCCGGTGGGCTCCCAGGGCCCGTGTTTGGATCTGCCCTTGGCACCCGACGAGGGCTTTATTTCGGGAAGGGTAAGGTGGGGCCGAGGGGACAGGGGCAACCCCCCCTTTTTCGAAGGCTGAAGGATCCGTGCCCGCTCGCTGGGTGCGGGGCAGGAGGGGGTGCTGCCCCAAGGGGCTGCAAACCGCGGGTAGGGACTGGAAAAAGTTGGGGGGGCCTTGGGGACCTGACAACCTCATGTTCGTCTTCTGTAGTGCGTGGCAGTGTCTCTCCCTGCCTGGGACTGGGGGGGCTGGAGGAGGCTTTGAAGGGGAGCAGAGCTGCAGGAGGGAGGTGGTCAGGGCCATGCTGTCAGTGCTTCCCAGCTCTTTCCCAGAGTCCACACAGGACTTGCACAGCCACGGTCACCCTCTAATCTTCACTGCACTTAAGCGCTAACCCCCATTTTACAGGTGGGAGACAAAGGTGGGGGACCTGTTTGGCTGCAGCCTGTTGCAGGAGAAGGCTCAAACCCGTAGACCCCTTTCTCCTTGCCATGCCGAGTGGTGCCAGGCTGCACGGACTGTGCTCCAGCTCCGCTTCCCGCTCAGCCGGGGAGCGATGCCCTGCACTGAGGCCAGCCCAGCACCACCCTGCCCCGTGTCCCCTCCCTGCCTCGCCGGTGCTGGGCCTGGCCCTCGGCACACCTTGCAGTGCAAAGATCAGCAGCAGTGTGTGGGGATTCGGCTGCGCGGCTCCCTGCTGAACCACTGAGGGTGCGTGGGGTGGGTGAGGAAGGCGTTCTGTGGCCTCTCGCAGGTCTTCCGAGTGCAAACAGCTCTGCCAAGCTGCCCCTCCTTCCTCCTGTCCAGTTACCTCCACACAATGGACGCAGTGTGTGCCTGCAGCTTCCTCTGCAAGAATTACAGTTGCATGGGCAGGCACTTTATCCTTTCTGATCTCTCCTCTTCTCCCTGCTTCCCCTGAGGGTTTGTTTTCCAGCAGGCTGAGTTCAAAAAGGGCACGAGATACCGCTGGCAAACAGTCTGGCGCTAAGCAAACCTTTTTAGTCAGAATCACATGGATTAGACCCAACTTTCCATTCACATGCGGTGCTACCTGTGAGCTCCTCTGAATTTCACGGTGGCTGAGCAATTAGTCTAAGCGCCGAGGCAGGTGAGATAGCACCTGAAGCCCGTGACAGAGGTCTGGAGCACTGCTTGCTGGGGGTAGGTGTGCGCTGCTGGTGACTCTAGGGGCATATCCAGTGCAGACTGCTGGAGCTGCACTCCTTCAAGGAGAAGCTCTGGCTCTGCCAGACAGCAATCTGAGAGCTGGCTGCCTAGGGGACTGCCAAAGACACCTTGTCTTCAACCAGAGGTGAAGCTTGATGCACAAAGTCCTTGAACTACTCTGAACAGCGTAGTTAGATAGCGTGGCTCTGTCCCTGAGCGAGAAGCTTTTTGGCAGACGCTTCCTCTTCATCCCTTGCCCCCAGCCTCCTTCCCACCCGCTGTCTGTCCTGTCCCCCTTTCTGTTAATCTCCCTCCTGCAGTGAGTGAGTTTGGAGGACAGTTTGAGTAGCATCATGCTGCCTTTTTATGGTAAATAGGCTGCAAGGGAGTGCTGTAGGAGGGGTGGCTTCTCAGAGCAGGAGCAAGCCCATGAGACTGGGCAAGATTAAATTGCCTTGTCTTATTGTGACCACAGTGGAGAGCAGGGCGGCGGGTAGGAAGTGAAAGGCTGGGTTGACAGGCTAGTTTCTCTCTTGACCGTACCCAGAAAGATCTCTGAGTAGCTACTTTCTTAGCACTTACTGTCAGTGTGGGTCCTGAGGGCTTGTTCTTACTAGAAATCCACTGGCTGTAACTGAGGCCAGATAGTTCCTATGCTCTGATGGTGAGGAGTGCAGGCTCAGCACTAATGGTAGGAAAAGAAGCAAACCAAAAAAAGCAAACTCTCTGCTAGTCCATTAGTGGGTACAGTGCTGAAATCCAGCTTTCTTGGCTGACAGCATCTTGCTCTGCTCAGATCCACAAAATCACACCATTTCTGGGGAGCCTGACCCTAGGCAGAGCACTGCTGTGGGTCTGAGGCAGCTCATCCTAAGTAAGCCTTGCTCAAAACATACCTTGCAGGGTGCTGGGGTAGGTGAGGACGTGTTCCTACAGCACATGCCAGTGTTAGAACTGGAGAGTGGGATCTGGAAGAACACGCAGTCTATCGATGTTTGGCTGTGTCTTGGGAGGTTGGTATTTGTGGGGGAGGTGGATATTCTCCCCAACAGTGTTTTCCTGCTGTCCTTCCACTGCTGGGAGGGAATGAGCCTGGCAGCATGAGGTCAAGGATGTGGATCTTTCTGGCTGTGGTTGGAAGGGGACAGTCCTGGTATGGGATGAGATGGCCTTTCTGGCCCTGTCTCCTTGGGGCATCCCCTCCTGCCCTGCTCAGCTCCCGCACTGTGGTGTGGCTATCTTCTTTGCTTCTGGATGAGCTCAGCCAATACTTTGGGATAGCTAGGGATAAATTATGACTTGCTCCAAATAACCTGTGGACTGGCATGTCCAGGGAGTATTTTAGTCCCTGACACATGAGCCCTGCCTAGAATGGAAGGCCTGATTCACTCACTGTATCTCACTGGAGGCCAGCACCTTTCAGGAGAGCTCCAAATCTCCATCCAAATGAGGGGACAAGGGCAATGATGCACGTCAGGCCCTGAGCATGACATTGCTGGTGGTGGCAGATTGCACCTCTGGTCTCTAACAGCCCTCTTGGGGCCTGGAAAGGCAGCAGCTGGCAGGGGATGTTGGTGCTGTAGTCCTTGAGTTCCTGCAGTATTGCTGACAGGTCTATTGCTTGAAGCAGTAGTCTGAGGGGAAGGGAAACCCAGGTCAAACAAGCTTAAGGGGCTTTTTAGTGTGTGTTTTGACTTGGAGGCATTTTGTTGCTGTTCTCTGTCAGGGTGTCCCTGCCCTTCCCAGCTCAACTGAGACTTGGCATCTCAGGAGAGAGACTCTTTTTGGCTTTCCAGGAGGAACAACGTGTCTGGCAATGTGTCCAGAGCCCTGCTGTGAGATAGTGACCACCTCCTGCCTCCAGCTGCCTTTTCCAGAAAGCCATTTAGAGCCCCAGGCTGTTACTTGGATAATTCCCCTTGCTGATTCATTAGCAATGTGCAGTCTCCTGTAATATCCCAAATCTGCCTCTGCTAAAGGCTGAGCGGGAGAGGCTATATCTTTTAATAACCATGTGATGTAGTTGGAAAAAACTTCTGGACATGCAGTTCTCTGGTGGCCTGAGTTAATGGAAGCACTCCAAGGGAGAGCTGCAGCTGGGCCCTGAGGGAGAGGCTGCTGCAACTGCTTTTGGGTGAGGGGGGAAACTGCTTGTTGTTTGTGATCTGCCTTTGCCCCGACCTCAGCCTAGCTCCCCTGACCCCACCTGGAGAAGGCAGCAGACCTGGAGATCGTGCTGCAGGTCTTGCAGGTCCCATGCACAGTGCTGTGTAAGTAACTGCTGGTGGCTGGGTTGCAGCCCTTGGATGTGGGCTCCACTCTGGAGATGAGGAAAGAAGTTTGCTTTCCAGGTGATGCTGGTGGCCGTGCTGTGGCAGCGCTGCCGTGCGTGGCAGGCATGTTCCTGGCTCTCCCCACTCAGTATTAGCTCTGCTGAAGGTGGCTTTGCTTTTGCAGCTCTTTGCTATTGAAACTACTCAGTCTTGTTGCTGGCAGCTTCTGCTTCCTATCCCAAGTGGGTGCCAGGAGCTTGGCTCTTACCTGCTGAACTGCTCCCTGGAAATGCAGGGTTCTGGTAGCACCACAGCGAGGGTTGTGACTGCAAAAAGGATGTGTGCCAGGTGGATTGGGCACCCTGGTTTGTATCATGTTCCCCCTGCTCCAGAAGTATCTGTCTTTGAGGTTCCCCCCCTTAGACCCGTTTGGTCTGAAGTGGGAGCTGACAGATAGGACAGGCGGAGCGGGGATGATGGAGGGGATAGCTGTGTGTTTCCTGATGTGTGCCATAGTGTCCATACGTGTCCTCTCTCACTGGATGCCACAGTTTAGCCAGATACTGAGAGAGACTCGCAAAACAGAGGCAGTGTCAGGCTTTGTTGCTGGAGGAGGTTTTGCTGAGCGGTTGTGCTGTACTACTTTGCTGGAGTTGCTGGGTTTCACTGTTCAGGTAGCAGCTCTTGGGAATTATTTCTTGATTCCAGCCCTTGTTGGGATTGATGTTGCCTCCCTTGTTTTGTATTGTGCTGTGCCAGGCTGACCTGGTGTTTGCTGTGGCTAGAGGGTGCGGTGGCACTGGTGCCCAGCACACTGCACACTTACTTCTCTGTTTGGCACTTTAAAACAGATGGGACAGACCAGAAAGATGGTTTGGGTGGGTTTTGCCTGCTTTGAAGGTTCTGTTCCTCTTGCATGTTGGAGTGACGGTGTGTGGGTAGAGGGGCTTTGAATCAAAACTCCTTATTCCTCTCTTGATTCCTTTGCCACAATTTATTTGCATGGCTCTGTGCTTCTAGTCTGGGCTTTCTCCCGATAAGGAAGAGATAATACCTGTAGCCTCCTGTGAGAAGGGCTCATCCATTCCAGCCTGCACCTGTGGGGTGCGGGTGCCCAACTCCATGGGAGCTGGAGGAAAGGGCTGTGCTGGCAAGCTCCCAGCTGAGGACGAGGATCTCCCCTTCCTCCGAGGAGGAGTGATGCGTGCAGGCTGCTCTACTCCCTGCAGTGCAGGTTGTGTGGTGGTTTTTGCCGGCCTTCTCTCTCCTCTGCCTTTATCCCTTCTCTCTCTCTGTTGTGCATCTATCTGGATAGACTCTCTGGACTCCCCTCTTGGGACTGCCCAGGGTATTTCGCAGGGGCTCAGGTTACTGGACAGGATAGTTAATCCCTTCATTGCCTCACAAGCTAAACACTGCTGCTGCTATCATGTTTGGGAGGGGGCTGGGGAACTTGCATCCATCTCCCAGCTCCTTGTCCTGCTGAAGAGTCGGTGTGAGGACTCATGTGTGTTGTGATGGAGCATGGTGGCTGTGGCTTGGCCAGCACTTCTGGGGACACGTGTACAGTCCTCCTTGCATGGGTGGGGAACATGCTACAGGACAGCACAGTGATCTGGGACTAGGAACATGTAGCACACAGGTGTTCTCCCATGGACTCTCTGGGAAGCCTTGGGTGACACTGAGTTGTGCTTTATAACAGGCTGGAGGAAAGGGACAGGACCAAGGTGTTGGGTGCTGCTGATCTATGACACTCTTGGCTCTGCAGGAGCATGTCCCCAAAGCTCTCGTGACTGTTTGTCTTTTGGGTTTCAGGTGACGGCAAGCTCCAAAGAAGTACAGCTGAGATGTTTTATTTGCCCTTCATGTTCAGAATCCCTGGTTGAAGGGTGGTTCTCACAGCTTTTCCAGCTGTTTCCAGGTACCCCTGCAACATTGGAAGCCTCCAAAGGTTAGTTATCTTGCTTGTTAAGTAGACAAATTACATGTGCTCACTCCCTTCCTGTCTTAGTGCTTCTGTATTTTAATTGGTAAACTGGGGATAACTGCATGACAAAGTCTTGGCTCTGTGGGTTTTCTCTCTACTGGGCACATGAGTATTTGGGACCTGTGGGGAGGATCTGGAGACAACACTGGCACTTGTAAGCCCCCGTGGCTCAGTTCTCAGGAGGAAAAGACCACATTCACTGCATGAATCCTTGGAACAAAGTGTGGTCCCATCTCCATGGCTGTTTCAGCTGAACTTCCCTTGAACGTGCACATCTGGATCCTTCTCCCCAGACACTACTATGGTCTGTTGTTTGTTTCTAGTGTAGTGGTCAGTAGGTGACTGGGACCTGGGCTGAGGAGCTGGAACAAGCTCCCTGGACTAGGGGAGATGGGAAGACCCTGTTCTGAAGGCTGGGATCTTGTGCTGGTGTTGTTCAGTCCTAGCAGCTTCTTTTCCCTCTGTCCCTTACACCAAGTGTTTCTGTGGGGCCACTGTTCTCAGTGGCCACCTCTTTCTCCTCTACCCCTCATTAGTGCAGGGCTTGGCATGCCAGCAGGAGGGAGCCTCAGCGTGTCTGTGCCTTGATCGGATTTGTCAAGGCTCCTTCCCTTTTCTTCCTGTTCATTGAGGGCTGAAACAAAGCAAACAGAAGAGAGGAATTCCAAAGAATAGGAGCGAGGGAAGAGAGGGACGCTGGATTGACAGGCTGCCCCTGCACACACGCACCCCCCTCTCCGCCTCAGTCTGGTGGGGCAGAGCATTTCGGGAGGCGAGGCCCTTCCCTGGCACTCCTGTTCCCAGCTGCCTTGCTCCTGTGCTGTGGGGCCGTGGCGTGCTGCTGCCCAGAGAGTTCCCATCCCCACTGCTTGGGTAGTTACACTGATGAGGCTGTCCCCACTCGTGTTGAAGTGCCAGCAGCGAGAAACCGAGGCTCGGGCTTGCTGCCTGCTCTCGGCCCAGGCACGTGGGCCTGAATACAGCTTGAGGGAACTGGGCCATTATTTGAACTGCTTTTGCATGTCGTGGGCTGCGGTAAAAGGTTTCCCTCTTTACCTGTGCCAGGAAAGCTTCCCCTACCAGGCAGCCCCAAACAAGCCCGGCGCAGAGCTGAACGTCCTGCCTAGGTGCCAGGGCAGCGAGGCGCTGGCCCCTCCCCAGCCTGGAGCCAGATAAGCACTTGAACAAGGCCCTTCTGTGCAGACAGGTCTGTGAGGTGGAGACAAACGTGGTCTGGTGCTCAGATTGTTTCCCAGGAGGCAGGGGACTCGGGAGGGGAGTCATGGCCAGCCAGGCGAGGCTGCTGCAGGTAAAGCTTTGTCCGGTCCGATGGAGCCCCTCACTTCCTCCTCTGCCATCCCCAGGCCATTGCACAGATTCCCCTTCATCCTGCCCTCAGCCATGCTATGGACTGGATCAGGGGGATGCAACAGGATGCTCAGCAACCCTGGCATAAAGCACTTTAGGTGAAATACATCCCTACCAGTGACACACACCTCCCCCATTTGCATTTAAGCCACAAGGAATGGCCTTTAAGCCACAGCCTCTGTTTCCTCTCCTTCTTCCTCCTTGTTCTCTGCCTTCTGGCAATCTCTGCACTCTGTGGTTTAATTAGAGAGCAGAGTAAAGTGCTTAGACTCCAAAATGTGCAGATTAGGGGGTTACTAATCCTCTTCCTCAACGGGTGCTCACATCCTGCCCAGTCTGTTATCGAGCTTCTGTCCCCAGAGTGGAAACTCAGCCAAACTCCAGACCTCTACCTCTCCTCTTGCTTGCTGCGCCGAGGAGGAAGGGCAAGAGGTGACAGGAGAGCTGGGGGG